GGGGAGCCGCACTCCTGCGTCTCTGGGGAGCGGGTCCCGGCCGGGTCTTGTTTATCAGATGTCTGGAAGTTTGTGCTTTTTTGACATGCACCCATTGGCCCACGCCACTCCCACCTCTGGCAACCAGCATCCTTCTTTTGTTCTCTGGATCTATGATCTTGGCGATTTGTCTCTTAGATTCCACATATGAGAGCATATAGTAATTGTTTTTATCTGATTTATTTCATTAAGCATGACTCCCTCAGGGCCTAAGCTTGTTATTGCAAGTGGCAGCACTTCCTTCTTTTTGTGGCTGAATACTACCCCGTCGTATATACATACCGCGTCTTCTTTATCCACTCACCTACGGATGGGCACTTAAGCTGCTTCTGCGTCTTGGCAGTTGCGGATTGCTCTGCAGCGACCGTGGCGTACGCGTATCTTTTCCAGGTAGTGTTTTCGTTTTCTGTGGGTAAACACGCAGAAGTGGAATTGCTGGGTCATAACGGTGGTTCTGTGTTTGAGGAGCCTCTGTGCTGGTTTCCATGGCAGCTGCACCAATTCACATTCCCCCCTGTAGCGCACAAGGGATCCCTTTTCTCCACATCCTCATAGACACTTGTTGTCTCTTGTCTTTTTGATAGTAGCCGCTCTGACAGGTGTGAGGTGGTATCTCATTATGGTGTTTTGTTTTGTTTTGTTTCGTTCTATTTTTTCAATGGAGGTACTGGGGATTGCACCCAGGACTTCCTGCGTGCTAAGCACGTGCTCTAACAATGAGCTATGCCCTCCCCGCTCACTGTGGTTTGATTTGATTTGCGTTTTCCTGATGACTAGTGATGTGGGGCATCTTTTCATGTGTCTGTTGGTCATCTGTATGTCTTCTCTGGAAGAATGTCCATTCAGATCTTCTGCCCATTTTTTGATTGGGTTGTTTGCTTTTTGCTATGAGTTGTATGACTTCTTCGTATATTGTGGAATTAGCCCCTTTTCAGATACATGATTTGCAAATATCTTCCCCCACTCGGTAGGTTGCCTCTTCACTTTGTTGATAGTTTCCTTTGCTGTGTAGAAGCCTTTTAGTTTAATGTCGTCCCACTTCTTTATTTGCGGTGGGATGTCACCTGTGGCCCTTATTCTGTTGAGGTCCAATCCCTCTATGCCCACTTTGTTGAGAGTTTTTACCGTAAATTGATGTTGAATTTTGTCAGAAGATTTTTCTGCATCTATTCAGATGACCATATGATTTTTATCCTTCAGTTTGTTAATGTGGTGTGTCACATTGATTGATTAGTGGATGTTGAACCATCCTTGCGTCCCTGGAATAGATCCCACTTGACCGTGGTGCATGCTCCTTTTAACGTATTGTTGAATTTGGTTTGCTAATATTTTGTTGAGAATTTTTGCTTCTATGTTCATTAGGGATATTGGTCTGTAATTTTCTTTTCCTGTGGTGTCCGTGTCTGGTTTTGGTATCAGGGTAATGCTGGTCTGAAAAATAAGTTTGGAAGTGTTTCCTCCTCTTCTGTTTTTTGGGAGAGTTTCAGATGGAGTGGTATTAATTCTTTGAATGTTTGGTAGAATTCACCAGGCAGGCCATTTGTCCTGGACTTTTGTCTGTTGGAAGATTTTTTAATTACTGATTCAATCTCCTTACTAGTATTCAGTCTGTTCAGATTTTCTATTTCTTTATGATTCAGTCTTTAAAGGTTGTATGTTTCTAGGAATTTATCCATTTCTTCTGGGTTGTCCAGTTTGATGGTATATAAGCATTCATGGTAGTCTGTTATGATCCTTTGCATTTGAGAAGTGTCAGCTGCAACATCTTCTTTTTCACTTCTGATGTTAGTTGGTTGAGTCCTCTTTTTCCCTTGGTGAGTCGAGCTAAAGGTTTGTCAGTTTCCTTTATCTTTTCAAAGAGTCAGCTTTTGGTTTTATTGATGCATTCTATTGTCTTTTTAGTCTCTCTTTCATTTACTTCTGCTCTGACCTTTCTATTTCCCTTCCTTCTCCTAACTTTGGTCTTTGTTTGTTGTTGTTTTTCTAGTTCCTTGAGGTGTATAGTTTGGCAGCACACACAGAAGCATGAGCCTGCCTGCACCCATGCACATGCTTTGTATTAGTTGGGCTCAAGTTTGGCTGCAATTAATAGAAACCTCCAAAGGCCAGGAGCTTAAGTAAGAAACAAATTTGTTTCTCTCACGTGAAGAAGCTTGGGAGAGAAGAGTACAAGCTTGATATTGTGACTCCACAAACTTATTAGGTACCCAGGCTCCTATTTTGCTCCTGTGCCACCTTCACTGCATAGCTTCCACTTCACAATCCAAGAGAGCTGCTCATGCTCCAGCCATCATGTTCACATTCCAGCCATCATGAAAGAAAAGACAAAAAGAGTCATACTATCCCCTTACAGGTAATTCCAAGAAGTCTTACATACCAGTTCTACGTACACCTCATGGGCCAAAACTTAAGCACATGGCCACACTGACCTCCAGTGTCTCCCGCCTCTGCCATGTTCTCCTGCCCCCTCCTGTGTCCACCATCTCCCCAGGGACTCTAGAGAGGCGAGTGGCCCAGGCCATCTGAGTGCCGTGCTGTCCAGGCCCAGGTCTAGGCAGTGAGGACAGGATGCCTCAGAGATCCAGGAAGTGGGCAGGCAGCTCAGCCTGGGGACCTGGCCTGCTGCCCTGTCCCTGTGTCCACGCTGAGGGTAGGTTGACTTCTGAGGGGAGAGGACCAAAACAGGAAAGGAGAGGAGTAATGCAGGAGAGGGAAGGGACAGCAGAGAGGGGAGACAAGACTGATCAGGAGATCTTCAGACCCCAGTAGAGGGATGCATGGAAAGAGGGAAGGAGGGGAGACAACAGAAGAAAAGGGGACTAAGCATTTGGGGAGCAGGTGGTGCCCCCATGAGCCCTGGGCAGGGTTCTTATCCAGGCTGAGGGCTCCACCCT